GATTACTGCAACTCGCTGTTGGCTGGGCTCCCTGCCTGTGCCATTAAACCCCTACAATTTATCCAGAACGCCGCAGCCCGTCTGGTGTTCGACCTTCCCAAGTTCTCCATGTAACCCCGCTCCTCCGCACACTCCACTGGCTTCCAGTTGAGGCTCGCATCTACTACAAGACCATGGTGCTTGCCTACGGAGATGTGAGGCGAACGGCACCTCCTTACATTCAGGCTCTGATCAGACCCTACACCCAAACGAGGGCACTACGTTCATCCACCTCTGGCCTGCTAGCTCCCCTACCTCTACAGAAGCACAGCTCCCGCTCAGCCCAGTCAAAACTATTTGCTGCTCTGGCACCCCAATGGTGGAACAAGCTCCCCCACGACGCCAGGACAGCGGAGTCATTGACCACCTTCCGGAGACACTTGAAACCCTACATCTTTAAGGAATACTTGGAATAGTATAAAGCAATCTTTCTACCTCCCCCTCCCCCACCCCCCCATTTAAAAAAAGAAGAAAAAAAGTGGTTGTCCCACTTGCTATCATAAATTGAATGCACCAATTTGTAAGTCGCTCTGGATAAGAGCGTCTGCTAAATGATGTAAATGTAAATATAGATACTTTTATACCTGTTTCCTCCAGCATCTTCACAAGGTCCTTTGCTGTTGTTCTGGGATTGATTTGCACTTTTCGCACCAAAGTACGTTCATCTCTAGGAGACAGAACGCATCTCCTTCCTGAGCGGTATGACGGCTGCGTGGTCCCATGGTGTTTATACTTGCATACTATTGTTTGTACAGATGAACGTGGTACCTTCAGGCGTTTGGAAATTGCTCCCAAGGCTGAACCAGACTTGTGGAGGTCTACAAATTTTTTTCTGAGGTCTTGGCTGATTTCTTTTCATTTTCCCATGATGTCAAGCAAAGAGGCACTGAGTTTGAAGGTAGGCCTTGAAATACAGCCACAGGTACACCTCCAATTGACTCAAATGATGTCAATTAGCCTATTAGAAGCTTCTAAAGCCATGACATCATTTTCTGGACTTTTCCAAGCTGTTTAAAGGCACAGTCAACTTAGTGTATGTAAACTTCTGACCCACTGGAATTGTGATACAGTGAATTATAAGTGAAATAATCTGTCTGTAAACAATTGTTGGAAAAATTACTTGTCACACACAAAGTAGATGTCCTAACCGACTTGCCAAAACTATAATTTCTTAACAAGAAATTTGTGGAGTGGTTGAAAAACTAGTTTTAATGACTCCAACCTAAGTGTATGTAAACTTCCGACTTCAACTGTACATATTACCTCAATTACCTCGACTAGCCGGTGCCCCCGCACATTGACTCTGCACCGGTACCCCCCTGTATATAGCCTCCATACTGTTATTTTATTTTACTGCTGCTCTTTAGTTATTTGCTTTTATTTTTTTACTTTACTTTTTCTATTTTCTATTTTAAAAAATGCATTGTTGGTTAAGGGCTTGTAAGTAAGTATTTCACTGTAATGTCTACACCTGTTATATTTGGCGAATGTGGCAAATAAAATTTGATTTGAGTATTTACTATAGTTAAAAAACTGTAGTGTTTCTGCGGACTGTAGTGTTTTTGTGGGCGTTACTGTAGCATTTAATACAGTGTTTTTTTTGCAGATAATACTGTAGTATTTACTATAGCAGATATGGGCAACTTTCATTGGGGTGGGGGCCACAGAAAATCTGAACTCATCATGAGGGGCCGCAGTGGCTCGCGACTCTGCGTACCCTCATCCACTCAGAGCCCCCCTCTTGATAGTGGAGAGAAAAATATGAAGATTTAGATTTCATTTCCTGGAATTTTATAAATTTTGCCATTGGGCATAAAGAAGATTTAGCCATTTTATAACCAATTTCATGCAATTCTACTCATTTTGCCATAGCATGATATCAGAGTGAGAGTGACTAACAAAATCAATTGGTGCCCCCGGTCGGTAATTTGACCATGATTACTACAAGTTTAGATAGTTGGCTAGACAAACTTACCCATCTAAAAAATGTTAGCTGACTAATTGAGTGACTGTCAGTGACTGACATAACAAGAGAAAAACTGCTGATGCGCAACCAAATTTCCAAATTGCACCTTGTGTATTCTACTATTCTAACTCTCAACAGTAAGTTGAGAACCCTGACTGAGTTCCAAAAATGTATCCGTGGGCCGCCAGTTGCCCATCCCTATACTATAGTATTCTACAGTATATTACAAAATGTTATAGTAAGTACTACACATAATCAAGGTATACTCCAGTGTGTAGTATAGTATTCTACAGTATACTACATCATTCTATAGTAAGTACTGTAGTATTCTATAGTAAAGTGTTGTATTTTTTAATGTGGGTCTCTCTCTCTCTCGCTACCAAACCTGCTGTCTCGACCTCTGAATGCTCTGATATGAAAAGCCCACTGACAATTACCCCCGAGGAGCTGACCTGTTGCACCCTCTATAACCACTGTGATTACTACTTGACCCTGCTGGTCATCTATGAATGTTTGAACATCTTGAAGAACGATCTGGCTACAGTTAATGGCCATGTAGTCTTATAATCTCCAGCCGGAACAGCCAGAAGAGAACTAGGTTCCTGCCTTTCTACTAAGTTTTTCCTAGCCACTGTGCTTCTACATCTGCATTGCTTGCTCTTTGGGGTTTTAGGCTTGGTATCTGTATAAGCACTTTGTGACAACTGCTGATGTAAAAAGGGCTTTATAAAATAATTTTGATTGATGATAGCGATAAGGGATTAGAGTGTGTGCATTAGAACAGCAAGACTAGAGTGTGTGCATTAGAACAGCGAGACTAGAGTGTGTGCATTAGAACAGCAAGACTAGAGTGTGTGCATTAGAACAGCGAGACTAGAGTGTGTGCATTAGAACAGCGAGACTAGAGTGTGTGCATTAGAACAGCGAGACTAGAGTGTGTGCATTAGAACAGCGAGACTAGAGTGTGTGCATTAGAACAGCGAGACTAGAGTGTGTGCATTAGAACAGCGAGACTAGAGTGTGTGCATTAGAACAGCGAGACTAGAGTGTGTGCATTAGAACAGCGAGACTAGAGTCTGTGCATTAGAACAGTGAGACTAGAGTGTGTGCATTAGAACATTGAGACTAGAGTGTGTGCATTAGTGTGTGTGTGTGCCATAGTTTAGACTGAACCACTCTCACTGAGACAATAATGTAGCTCATTATTTTGTGTCGAGTCTAAATGCATGACCAAACTGAAGCACCAATGTCTGTATAATCGCTTTCATCCTTCACCTGCTACCTCTCCAGTGGTCATTGACAATAACACAGCACAATAATGCCCATACAATGACACTCGTTTCATGGAAGTTGAATGTGTTTGACCACTGCCAAGTCCGTGCTCAAAAACCCAAAGTCCCAAAGTATTATACAGTTAGTCCACCTCCTACTACAATCACATTGTGGGGGAAAACATAAATGGAATCATATATCTCCTCAATGGCGATGCAAATGCTAGGTGTAACACCGTGTAATCCAACATGGGGATAAACAGTCCACCAGAGAGGAGGACAGGATAGGACACAATGCAGAATTGGCTAGCTTGGCCTGGGCTACCTACACAGATGGCTTGGTCCTCTCTCTCTCTCTCTCTCTCTCTCTCTCTCTCTGTCCCTTTCATACCTTGTTGATCAATGCACGGATGAGATGAGCAGACAGAGGGAGGAGGGAGGCCGCTGTGCATTGTTCAGTTCATAGCAGAGATATTTAGAGGGGGATTACAATGCCAGAAAAAGTTATTGGTTGTCGTGATTATGTCTGCGTCCCAAATGGCATCCTATTCCAAAGGGAATCCATCTGTTTGTGCTTTTGAGGTTGTTGGGGTCAAATAAACTCCCTTTAGAAAAAGAAAACAGCAAGAATAAGAGGAGGGGGATTCTGTCTATGTGCATTAATGTGCCATTTAAAATGTAGAAGCAATTTACCAGATGTTTACTGAAGTGATGAGATGACAGAATAATTGTACGATTATTTTTAGGAGAGAAGAGAGACTGGTGGGATATTATGGGATCTTGTCAAGAATAGGAGGAGGGGAAGAGTTGAGTGGATGTGATAGGAGAGATGAGGGTAGTGGGTTGTGGTTGCACTGTAAATGAGGAGTGGATTAATTCTGAGTTCCTAATCGACCACAAACCAGGGGATTGGATAGGTGGAACCAATATGGCGACATTTCCCACTTAGCAGTTAGAATTTGCAAAAATGGCTGTCTGTGTTGGAATCAAGCTCCAAAATCACTCACCATAATTGACATACCCTTTAACAAAGTTTGGGCAGTGATTTGCTCGTGGTTGTTTGGTAACCATGTTGCCACTTTGAATTTTGAAAATAAGCATTCAATCTTGTTGATACGTGAATCAATAGCCTATCATTGGGTCGTCACTAGTTCCCACAGCCACAAAGTCATAAACCCCGCCCATTTCTACAAGTTATCTTCTTAAAATCTGATTTTCAGCCTAACCTTATGACTAAAACTAACCTTAAATTAAGACCAAAAAGCACATTTTTGTTTTCATTAAATGTTACGCTATAGCCAATTTAGACGTTCTGGCTATGGAAACCCTATCATGACGTGATTTACGTTCGTCAACTTCCGGGTGTCAGTACAATGCCCAACAGGTATATTTCAGTAGACAAACTAATAAAGGCTACTCCATTTATTAATTTGACCTATACTAGAGAAGAGCAAATCTTTTTTTAGCAGGGTAAGTTGTAGTTTTGAGTAGTAATTTTGAATACACGCGTGGCATTTTGTCAGTGTAAATTCGTCCAGTGACACCTGTTGCTTGAGTTTCGGTTGAGGCTCGAGCGGTATCGAGCGCCTCGTAGAATCACAGAGGAATATACAGAGTATCAAAGGAGGCTGTTTTTCAAATAACTTTTTTTCGGATGATAAGGACAACATGAAAGTCACTGTAACTTTTGGAGCAACTGCAGTGGTCGTTCCGTGTAAAGGAGAATGGACAGTTCGGGAGTTGATAGACCAAGCCAATCAGAGGTATCGAAAGATTCTGGAACAGGTAAACTAAATGGACTCTTGGAATATATTGACGTGTCTTACATTTGTTCTTATACCCTCCCTTTTAATCCGGTTTGTTTGCCATTTTAAATATTATTTCTTAAAATTTTTAATGATAGTCTACTACATATTTTCATACATTAGGCTATATTCATTACCACTTGAACCGGAAACCGTTTACCTATTTAACCAAACGGAAACAAACAGCAAACTGTACGAAATGGGGAGGGACTTACCTGAATTTGTCCAATAGAAACTCGTTTTCGTTGGAAAATAATTTCCATGCCATAGATGCACAAATACTTGAAAACCCAAGTTTATTCTTCTGGACAGAGTGTATCTACCAGGCTACAAATCAACTGGCCACATTGTAAATCACCTTTAATCACTTCGTTTTAAGCACCAGAAAGCCAGGTCTATGTTAGTGGTCATATGAGTATTGTGTGCCCCAGCTAACAAGCAGCTGTCTAGAGATATATATGAGGCTCTGTTGAAATGGTCAGTATCTCCCTGTGCAGGTGGGATTTAGTGTTTTATGTGCTGTGCATCGTTTCGCCGAGCCTGTGTGGCGGACAGCAGCCTTTGTCCTTTGACTGATGGGGTTTAGGGTGGCTGACAGCTCAGCGTTATCAACTGGTTTTCCCTGGCGCAGGGCGGCGAGAGGCTGGTGATGGACAGGGTTATGCCAGGCAGGCAGTGGGGATGCATGGCTTCCCATTAGAGTTTCCACCCAGGCACCGACCTACGTTGGTGGGCTCTCATCTGCCAGGTCTCCCTGGCCCTGGGCTGACTGGGTCAGCATCCCAAATGGCACCCTATTCCCTATATAGTGCACTACTTTTGACCAGGGCCTAAGTGAAAAAGTGAACTATATAGGAAATAGGGTGCCATTTGGGATGCACACAGGCTCTCCAGTTAAGTTACAGCCCCACATCCAGGCGTGTTTTCCCCCTGCCATTAGTTATAGGTCCCTGAGTTTGTCCTGATCAGCTAAAATGAAAGAACGTACTATATGTGGCTGCCTAGCCTTGTCTAAATTATGTCTGGCTTCAATTAGTTTTAGTAGAAGACTCTTCGTTGCCAATTATGTGTGAAACACATCTCACTGACCTAGAAATCCCTCGGTCATGATCAAAACAAATCCAGGGTCCCACAGGGTGAAATTCCCTGTTAATGTGTCTAGTGCAATTCGTCCTAGGAACAATCAAGGGTTTGGCTGGTGAGGATCCACTGTATCACCAATCATGCCACTGGTGTGACAGCATTCATAGACCGTGTTAGATGTCCTTGGTTTAAACAGAGGTATCCAGGGTCTGTGGGAAAAGGCACACAGAGGAATGTCAGTCACCCTATCTCAGTGGAAAAGGGAAGGTAGTGCACCTGCATGTATCCATCTCACAGTTTGTCCCTGCCACTCAGGTTACAGCCAGAGCCCGTGCCAATATGTTGAGACTCAGAGAGCCATGAGTTCTCTGTAGCTATGTTTCCATCAACTTGTCCAGTGATTATTTTTGTCGACCAGTGGACCACCTCAGAGGAGGAAGGGGAGCACCATCCTCAGTGAATTTCATAAAAATAGTGAAACATTAGGTAGCCTTTTTAGATTAAACTATACAAAATATATTCACTTGTCACCAAATAATTGATTACAACACACTGTTTAGCAATGAAGGTCTACAGTAGCTTCAGCAGCACTCTGTAGGGTTGCGCCATGGTGTTACCGGAGGACAGACAGCTTCTGTCCTCCTCTTGGTACATTGACTTCAATACAAAACCTAGGAGGCTCATAGTTCTCTCCCCCTTCCATAGACTTACACAGTAATTAAGACAACTTCTGGAGGACGTCCTCCAACCTATTAGAACTCTTGCAGCATGAACTGACATGTTGTCCACCCAATCAAAGGATCAGAGAATGAATCTAGGGTAAATGTCCCTATTAAGCCCACGTACCATATAAGCCCTCTTGCAAATACTGAGTAAAAAAAATAAAAATAAACGACATCATAATTTTTTGCTTTGTGATGTTTCTTCCAATTAAGCTGCTTGTTACATAAATGACACTTATTATTGTAAGCGAATCAGATTTGTCAATATTGAGTTATCAAAGCATATGTGTGACATGTGCCTGCTGATCCCAGAAGAAGTTGCAAAAAAAACTGGTGATTTTGGTACCCTCAGAAGATAACATTTATTGCATATTTCTACTCCTGTTTTTGGTAAGTACTCATTTATTATCAACATTTAAGTGATTAGTGTTTTGAACAAGACATATGTTAGAATATTACTTGAATTATAAATATTGTTTCTTTTGAAATCAAAATATGAGTTTTAGCATTCTAGCAAACAGATTGCATAGTATGGTTCATTGACATAAAGCATGATAAGCAGGTATAGTTTACATTTTTGTATGCAATTTATATTATTATACTGTTAAATAGACAATCAATGTTTATGTACATTTTTAAATTAACATTTTTACCTGGCGGGCTTAAAGGGGATGCTAGCAAAAATATCACACTGTCTGGGGTATAATGAGTATAGCTAATTACTTCTCTGCATGATAAATGTATACTTGTTATGTTAGTTACCATATATACATTTATTTCATATAGTTGTTTTTTATTGTCATGTGCGTAAAATAAAATATTCTGTCTTTTAACCATAAATTCACTGATGTTCCTTTTAAGCCCACCTGCTCCCATTAAGCCCACTTGAACCATTTTCCTCCCTAATTTTGACCTCACCTGATAAATCAGCTCCATAATTCAGATATTTAATACCCATATTTAAATATCAGTCATATTGCATAGGTCAATTCATTCTGGATAGGCCTATATTCTATACTAACATTAACCATTTTTTAAAATCTTTAGGCCTACTTTTCAGATTAGTTTTAGTTTGAGAAGACGAAAAAACTACAGTTCATGCCCACACATGATAGAAGCATGCCGTCTGCACTGGAGCCCCTAAAGAAGAAGCTGAAGGCCTTTGTGGAAGTGAAACAGACCTGCGATAAAACAGCCGTGCATATTAAGACCCAGACCCAGCAGACGGAGAAGCAGATTAAGGAGGAGTTTGAGAAGCTTCACCAGTTCCTTTGAGATGAGGTGAGGGCCAAGCTAGTTGGAATGCAGGGGGAAGAGGATGGGAAGAGCTGGTTGTTGAATAGATTGAAAGGATGAAAAGAGAGATGTCATCACTTTCAGATACAATCAGAGCCATAGAGGAGGAAACTGAAAACATCTCTTCCCTGCACACCTACAAGGGCATGGTGAAAATAACTGCACACTGCCGGACTCAATGCAGGACTCAGGAATGCTAAAAGTATGAAAAATGTATGCACTCACTAACTGTAAGTCGCTCTGGATAAGAGCGTCTGCTAAATGACTAAAATGTAAAAATGTAAAATGTAAATGTCTGTGCAGGGAGGGAACAATGCAAAATCTGTAATTTCTGGCAAAACGTTATGGAGTAGACAGGAAGTCGTTGAGGCAGAGAGGGAAGGAGCAGCTGAGCATTGATGCACAACAGGGACATGTGATCTACCTGAGTCCAGCGGTAGAGCAGGAGATTTCAGAGTGTCTTCAGGTAGGGTTATACTATGGTGATTGATAGAAAAAGATAACATGAAACAGTAGGTAGCCTAATAGGTACACTTCAACTGTGAGAGACGGAATCTAAAACAAAAATCCAGAAAATCACATTGTATGATTTTTAAGTAATTAATTTGCATTTTATTGCATGACATAAGTATTTGATACATCAGAAAAGCAGAACTTAATATTTGGTACAGAAACCTTTGTTTGCAATTACAGAGATCATACGTTTCCTGTAGGTCTTGACCAGGTTTGCACACACTGCAGGAGGGATTTTGGCCCACTCCTCCATACAGACCTTCTCCAGATCCTTCAGGTTTCGGGGCTGTCGCTGGGCAATATGGACTTTCAGCTCCCTCCAAAGATGTTATATTGGGTTCAGGTCTGGAGACTGGCTAGGACACTCCAGGACCTTGAGATGCTTCTTACGGAGCCACTCCTTAGTTGCCCTGGCTGTGTGTTTCAGGTCGTTGTCATGCTGGAAGACCCAGCCACGACCCATCTTCAATGCTGTTACTGAGGGAAGGAGGTTGTTGGCCAAGATCTTGCGATACATGGCCCCATCCATCCTCCCCTCAATACGGTGCAGTCGTCCTGTCCCCTTTGCAGAAAAGCCTCCCCAAAGAATGATGTTTCCACCTCCATGCTTCACGATTGAGATGGTGTTCTTGGGGTTGTACTCATCCTTCTTCTTCCTCCAAACACGGCGAGTGGAGTTTAGACCAAAAAGCTATATTTTTGTCTCATCAGACCACATTACCTTCTCCCATTCCTCCTCTGGATCATCCAGATGGTCATTGGCAAACTTCTGATGGGCCTGGACATGCGCTGGCTTGAGCAGGGGGACCTTGCGTGTGCTGCAGGATTTTAATCCATGACGGCGTAGTGTGTTACTAATGGTTTTCTTTGAGACTGTGGTCCCAGCTCTCTTCAGGTCATTGACCAGGTCCTGCCGTGTAGTTCTGGGATGATCCCTCACCTTCCTCATGATCATTGATGCCCCACGAGGTGAGATCTTGCATGGAGCCCCAGACCGAGGGTGATTGACCGTCATCTTGAACTTTTTCCATTTTCTAATAATTGCGCCAACAGTTGTTGCCTTCTCACCAAGCTGCTTGCCTATTGTCCTGTAGCCCATCCCAGCCTTGTGCAGCTCTACAATTTTATCCCTGATGTCCTTACAGAGCTCTCTGGTCTTGGCCGTTGTGGAGAGGTTGGAGTCTGTTTGATTGAGTGTGTGGACAGGTGTCTTTCATACAGGTAACGAGTTCAAACAGGTGCAGTTAATACAGGTAATGAGTGGAGAACAGGAGGGCTTCTTAAATAAAAACTAACAGGTCTGTGAGAGCCAGAATTCTTACTGGTTGGTAGGTGATCAAATACTTATGTCATGCAATAAAATGCAAATTAATTACTTAAAAATCATACAATGTGATTTTCTGGATTTTTGTTTTAGATTCCGTCTCTCACAGTTGAAGTGTACCTATGATAAAAAGTACAGACCTCTACATGCTTTGTAAGTAGGAAAACCTGCAAAATCGGCAGTGTGTCAAATACTTGTTCTCCCCACTGTAGGTCTAAAGGATGAGAATCTGAAGAGTTTGTTTAAAAGCACTGGCATTTATCCTTACTGTCCAGACAGGGTGATCACAGAAGACTACGCACCGTTCACCATGGAAGATGGCCAATCACAATCATGAGGTCATTGAAAATCTGTACAAAAACAAGATGAAAGCCATCTAAGACTTGTTAGCGTAAGACTGGCAAGCAAAGACAACCACAACGTGGGCAAAAGATTGAAACAAACAAACAAAATAAAGCTTAGACCACCCTATAACCTGTTATGTTACACTACTAAGATAACTAAAATGATAAAATCACATCAAAGAGCATATGCCTAGGAGAAAGTAGAAATTGCAGAAATGTTTCTTGTTTATTTTGCTTAAGTTATAGGCTAATGATACATGAGCTTCAAGAAGTTATGACTGATGTCTCCTCACAATGAACTGTATGTTTTAATGTTACTCCACAATGTGTTTTTAAAATGTGTTTTTACAATGTTTTCAAACTACTAGCCTAAATGTGATTAACGTTTGAAAATCAATTAAAGTTATTGTTTAAATGTAAATCCTGAAATTGACTCATTTACTATCCTTAGAACATTAGTATTGAACCTGCAAACTGTTTTTCTTTTAGTCAGTCAATCTTCATAAAAACATCTTCATAAACATTTTAGCCAATTTCAAATGCCAAAAGCACACCATAGGATAGAGATACAGACAAAATGACAACACATATTGAAAGATGATTTATTGAAGAGTATTTTCCACTATAGTTTTGATTTTGTTTGTAAATAGTTTTTGGGCTACATTCCAAAGAAGACATGTTGTAACTTTTTGTAACACAGCAAAACGGCTGGTCACGCCTATTTCAAATGCCATTTACAGGCCATAGGATAGGAGTGGAGGCAAAATAAAAAATAGATATTGAGAGCTAAGAGATTACAGATTTGAATAGAACAAGTTTGTATTGTTAAGATTTTTTAAAATATATATATTTATTTATCAACAAATCTGAAGTGGGCTTATTAGGTACCCATTAAGCCCATTCCAGACTTTCAAAATATTTTGACAAATTAAACAATAAAAACATTAGAAATTGGTATAAATTAATTATTGACACTTCAAATGAGAGATTAGACTTTCATTTTAACTAAAATGTTCTCACTTAAATTGGGGCAGTATATATAAAAAAATGTCTGAAAAGCGGATTTGGTGGGCTTAGTAGGGACGTTTACCCTACTGAACAAAAATATAAACGCAACATGTAAAGTGTTGGTCCCATGTTTCATGAGCTGAAATTAAAGATCCCTGAAATGTTCTATACCCACAAAAACCTTATTTCTCTTATGTGCACAAATTTGTTTACATCTCTGATAGTCAGCATTTCTCCTTTGCCAAGATAATCCATCCACCTGACAGGTGTGGCATATCAATAAGCTGATTAAACAGCATGATCATTACATAGGTGCACCTTGTGCTGGGGACAATAAAAGGCCATTCTAAAATGTGCAGTTGTCACACAACACAATGCCACAGATGTCTCTAGTTTTTAGGGAGCGTGCAATTGGCATGCTGACTGCAGGAATGTCCACCAGAGCTGTTGCCAGAGAATTGAATATGAATTTCTCTACCATAAGCCGCTTCCAACATTGTTTTACAGAATTTGGCAGTACGTCCAACCGGCCTCACAACTGCAGACCACGTGTAACTACGCCAGCCCAGGACCTCCACATCCGGCTTCTTCACCTGCGGGATCGTCTGAGACCAGCCACCCAGACAGCTGATGAAACTGTGGGTTTGCACAACCTAAGAATTTCTGCACAAACTGTCAGATATTGTCTCAGGGAAGCTTGTCTGCTTGCTCGTCGTCCTCACCAGGGTCTTGACCTGACTGGAGTTCGTCATCGTAACCGACTTCAGTGGGCAAATGCTCACCTTCGATGGACACTGGCATACTGGAGAAGTGTGCTCTTCATGGATGAATCCCGGTTTCAACTGTACTGGCGTCGTGTGGGCGAGCGGTTTGCTGATGTCAACGTTGTGAACAGAGTGCCCCATGGTGGTGGTGGGGTTATGGTATGGGCAGGCATAAGCTACGGACAACGAACACAATTGTATTTTATCAATGGCAGTTTGAATGCACAGAGATACCGTGACAAGATCCTGAGGCCCATTGTCGTGCCGTTCATCCGCCGCAATCGCCTCATGTTTCAGCATGATAATGCACGGCCCCATGTCGCAAGGATCTGTACACAATTCTTGGAAGCTGAAAATGTCTTCCATGGCCTGCATACTCACCAGACATGTCACCCATTGCGCATGTTTGGGATCGACGTGTACGACAACCTGTTCCAGTTCCTGACAATATTCAGCAACTTCGCACAGCTATTGAAGAGGAGTGGGACAACATTCCACTCTATTCGAAGGAGATGTGTCGCGCTGCATGAGGCGGTCACACCAGATACTGACTGGTTTTCTGATCCATGCCCCTACCGTTTTTTTAAGGTATCTGTGACCAATAGATGCATATCTGTATTCCCAGTCATGTGAAATCCATAGATTAAGGCGTAATGTATTTTTTTCCATTGACTGATTTCCTTATGTGACTCATTTCAGGAAACTAGGTGTATGTCGCGCATCACTACTTCACAGGAGAGGCATTTGGATGTACATTTGTTTTAAAAATCGAAATGTGTTTTTTTGCAGAAATGCCTTCTGGAACATGTGAACTTCCATGTGCCTTAATAACAAACTTGTATGCCACCTGTAAATACAAATAAAATTGGTAAATTACGAGCCTAGTTGGTTCATCCACGGAAAAAAGACTGGAATCTTCCCTCTAGCCATGATTGGCTGAAATAATGGATGAGCTGGACATGCTGAGAGATGAGTTCGGATTGGTCCGCTATGTAGCACGCTTCTGTCTATAACATGAGCTGGTCA